GTCTGAATATAACATAATACTGTCATAGCGTTTACTATGTATGCCCCAGGAAACTCATAATTGTGACCAGATATTATTCATGTGTGTGACAACATACAGAGAAGTAAATACTGTATACATAAGAATGATGAGTGGTCATAGACCATGAGGCAGACCAAGAAGATGATGAAGAGATAATGTCAAGAGTAGGCAGGTGATATCTGCAGCAATGAACCTCAAGGGTTGAGAATGCTGAAGAAGAAGTGACTGAACATGTTTGTATATTTCCAAATCATATATTTAGTTATAAACTAAAGATAAATTGTGGAAGTAGTATACAAATTCAGATAGCACAAAACTATCCTTAAAACAGATGGATAGGGCATTCACAGATGGCTCAGTAAAGAAAGCTGCAAAGGTGGAGGAGGTCAAAGAGGAAGAATTCATACTGAGTAGACCAATGGTGACACACAAAAAAGAGCAGCCTTTTTAGCAGCCTCTGGAATGCTTCCCATTCAGAACACAATCATGAAGATCCAATCAACCTCCTCACATACAAGCAACAGACCACTGTATGTAGATTGTGATCTGGACACAACAAACTCTGAAGCCACACATACAGGACATCCAAGACTGGGAATTCAGAATTTTGCCCATGTGGATAGCACCCCACAGTAATAGCAGTTTTCTTTTAATGGAGCATACTTGCTTATAAATGCAGTGATCCTAGTTCAGCTAACTACAGGGGAAGGATTATGGTTAACTGACCACTGCGTCTCTGTGGTTGAATGAGACTAATAAAATTGGCACACATTTTCCTAAACAGCTGGTCACCTCTTAATCACTGTGCCTTGGCCTAGACCAGGGCTATTCAACTGGCCTCGACTACAAGTTGTCGAACTATGGAGGTGATGGCGGTAACAAAAGCAATGATGTGGCTTGTCTGGTTGAATAGGCAGGAGTGCAGAGAGTGGTCAGTGGGGGCTACTGAGACGGAAGTCCAACAGTTCTTCTTCTTCACGTTTACCAATTGTAAATTCTGTGGAAAGTTCAGAGTGTTCGTCCACTTCTGGACTGCAGTCTTGTTCCAGAACCTGAGTGTTGCATGTGCATCCGTTTGACAGATCTAACTAATTTGTATGCAGACTGCTGGTTCCTTGCCTCTCAGGCAGATGCACTCCGACTTCGAAGGAAGCTCCCAATCAGTTGACACGCTTTTGGGTTGGCAGTGGGTCTATTCTTGTTTACTATAACAGGGCCCCGGAACCCACACAGGGAAGTCCAACAGTTGATTCACAATAATTCTCATCATGATGATCCGATTATCTACAAAGATGGTTCTGTATTGAGAGGGAATAGAAGTGCCTGGTATGTCATAGCTAAAGCCAATAGAAAATCTTTAGTGCAGGACAGCTTGGCATATGATGCCACAACATTCAGCATGAGAATGGAGGTGGAGGCAGTAATTGCAGCTTGCCGGTGGCTAGAGAACAAGATACATACACATTTCATAATTGTAATAGACTCTTAGGAGGCAAGATGTCAAAAGGCGAACGCAGTAACTTACCAACTCTCCCCACTGCTAAAACACCCAAGCATCACTATGGCACTAAAACAACAATTGATAAATTGCATGTTTATACCAACCCTCTGCTACCAATGCCAAACCTGGTCCCTAACAAGAGCACAGGAGAAAAAGATCACGACGTGCGAAATGAGATGCTTACGTAAGGCTGCCAATGTCACAAGGAGAGACAGAGTTCGAAAACGAGAACATTAGATCAATTGTAGGAACCACATCATGCCTGCAATACATAAAGAAGCAACAAGTAGAGTGGTTTAGCCACTTGATGTGAATGCAAACCGACCAACTGCCTCTACGAGCATACAACGAACAGCACTACTGCCCTAGAGCAAGAGGCAGACCGAGAGTACGATGGATAGACAATATATCAGAGATCCTGAGGCAACACAGACTAACAACAACACATTCAACACACCTGGCCCAGGATAGAAAACTGCGACTCCCCACTACGCTGTGAGGCAATTGTGGACAAGACAAGACAACGGACTCTTAAAGCATGTTGAAAAAGATGAAGAAGGATTGCTTCGAGCAGAGTGGCAATCTTCACTGAGAAGGTTACAGGTAGTTAGCATACTTTGGATGTTTTCTCAAGGCTATGCCAGCGTAGTGAATAAACAGGCAGAAAGATTGGCTGGATCTGCACCGATGGGTGGCGAATATTTACATGACAAGGCAGATGTGGTTAGAGCCCTTTGGGAACAAGTAGTGAAGTCAGAAGAGAAACTAGATTATGTACTGGATAGAATGATAGGCTCTCCTTTGAATAATGGTCCCAAATGATCTATGCAGAAAGTTAACCCTAACAGAGCCTCATTACGTCCTGCCCTACAAATATTTTAAAAGCTGTAACTCGGAAAAAATTAGGAACGAAAAGTGTAAAGAAAAGGGCAAAGTCTACTACTTACCGAAAATTAAATCCTTTATATGTGAAAATTTTAGCACAGAAGTTGCAAATAGTGTGTGAACATCTGTTCTGTCTCGCCGTCCGCCATTGTAACTTAGCACAGCTTGTCCGCGATTCTTGTTCCGGGCGAGACATGATATTAATGTGCGGTTTAATGTACGCGCATGTCGCCTCGGGACAACTTCAAACCAGCGGCCGCCACGATGGCACTCCACTATCCCGACCACCACTTGACCGTGGCGAATGCGAGCACGCTGGTACTTCCGACAGAAGTAGCTCCTGTAAATTGTAGACTTTTTTCCGCCGACTATAGTGCCACCTCCAAGCGTATCCGCGGCGAGGAAGGGGCTATACTAGATGGCTGGGACTCACAAGCAAATACATTGGAGGAAGGTGCAGGAGCTGCGTTAGCTGCTGCTCGTGAGTCCTAGCCATCTAGGTTAGTCCCTTCCGCGGCGCGGCGGATACTCTCGGAGGTGGCACTATAGTCGGTGAAAAGCGGTCCGCAACTTACATATAACTCGGGCCCTGCCATAGGATAGTGCTATCGGGAGTATTCTCGCGTGTCACAAATTTTTTTGTCCGTAGTTAATCCTAGTTTTGCCGCCATCTAATCGCCGTAAAAAAAATCAGTTGCGTTTCGCGAAAATTTTGTGCGCAATTAATCCTACTTTTGACACGGTTGATTCGCCGCAAAAGAAATGCAAATTATAGATATCAGTGAGGCTCTGTTTGGGTTCACTTTCTGCGTAGATCATTTGGGACGGTTATTCAAAGGAGAGCCGAATGATACACCTGGGTGTGACCAAAGGGTTCAGCTGGCACACTAGGCTCAGAGGAAAGGCAAGATGGACATACAACCAGACTACGACCGGCACCATTAGTAGTAATACTAGGCTATCTTCCGAATAACGTCCCAAATTATCTACGCAGAAAATATACCCTAACAGGGCCTCAGTCCCGTGTCAATTGCGTACTTCCGGCGACTATACCTGCGCCGCCGAATTGCGAACTTTCGGCAACCTCTGCCGAGAGTACTCCGTGCGCCGCTCACGCGTCGTGGATTGGGGCTAAACTAGATAGCTAGGACTCACGAGCAAATAAAACGAAGGCAGCTACAGGAAATGCGGTAGCTGCTGGTGGGGAGTACTCTCGGCGATGGCGGAGGTTGCCGAAAGTTCACAATTCTACGGCGGCGAAAGTCGCCGGAAGCTCGATGGAACTGCGCAATTGATTGTGACTGAGGCCTTGTTAGGGAATACTTTCTGTGTAAGTAATTTGGGACCGTTATTCGGAAGATAGACGTAATGTGAGTTCCAGTCCGGCAACTCTTTTTAGCAGAAGAAAGAATGTTATGATTGAATGTACCTGAGGGTCTGTTTCATTTTCTGTGGAATCCATAGTTTCTCGCCCAAATCAGACGGGAATTTTAAAAATGCTAACAGTTATAATCTTTAACGGTAAAGCAGTTCCCACAGAATCCCCAAAGATGACAGTACAGTAGTTGAGTTGACATTGAACCTCTCGTCCGTCTGATGGTGCCTCTCGGGTCTGTGCCTGAGAGTAGCCTCCCCATGGCTTCTGTTGACATGCCACTTGGTATTTATGTCATCTTACTAAAACTATATTTTCCTTTATTTCATTAATAATCAAACATTTGAACATTTAATTGGTTTTATATAATTTTATTTTCGGTTGTGTTCCAGGTGTATCATCAATGGAAATATATACTCTAGCAACCTGACATTACGATTTCTATCTAGTTTGTTCCTTTGACAACTTAGTGCTAAAAAAAGTGTCTGGTTGTAAACATTAAGCATGTTGGTGAAGTAGCACGAAGTTTTCGATTCTGCTACGTCTTCTTTCGTTTGCACGAAATAGATTGTCTCTATCTGTAGTGTTGTCTCTTCTAGTGATTTCACTGTTCGTTTTAAACACTTTATGCTGTTAGTGTTTTGTTTTCAAATTTGTTTCTGTTTCTAAGCCAGTTTAGTGAGAGTGGACATTCATGACATCATTTCTGCTCAACTGACTTCTGAACTGACTGGTCAGGATGATATGATCGATCACATTAATATAATTGAGCATCAATGGCTTGTGCATTTCTAGAAATGGAATACGTACCGTTTAGGTGAATATAAAGCACAAAATTATCACCTTTCTACCTATGTTTTACTTACACTTCACTACTAATTGATACTAAGTCAACTAGTGTTCTAACTAGTACATAATTTAAGACCCATATTCATATTGTCATGATATTAATTACTGATACAGTACGTAAAATATTGGTCGAGTAGCCACGCGATATCAAATTAAATCTGTTCCCGATGTCCAGACCTAAAAAGTAATGTTAACTAAGAGCAGTGTCAGCAAGATATTTATGGTATCATCATACTATCAGTGCTTCAACATTCAACATTACTACAACAGATACTCATAGAACAAAATAAAAGTTAAATAACTAGTACAGGATCTTGTATAATAAATAATTAACAACATATTATTTTCTAATTCATGTCAGAAACCACAATGGCTGTTGAAGCTAACATAGAAAACAGTTTGAAAAGAAATATATCTCATAGTAATAAGGAGGACTTAAAGAATCAGATGATCATCAAACTGGTCAAAACAGACGCCCATTTCAGACATCAGCAACGTGGAGAACCAGACCTGACTCAAGAAGAGAAGATCAGTATTGCTGAAGATATCTTGAACAAGAATCCTGCATTATTTTTGGAGCGTTACTCCCAGTATCTCAATAGTGAGGACATACGTTACTTTGAGGATCAGAAAGGCAATTATCTAATCGACTTCTATGTTGAAGAGATTTCTAAACGATGTGCAGACTCTAGACAAAATGTGGTGAAAAATCGGAGGTACCAAGCGCTGCAGAAACTTATAGATGAAGGGGAGTATTTTTCTGAAAATGAAATGAAATGGAGAGAGCCACTACTTTATGAACAAATGGTGAGTTTTCATTTAGTTGTATATATAATATATTATATATATATATATATATATATATATATATATATATATATATATATATATATATATATATATATATATATATGGTCTCTTAATAATATATATTTGAGTTTCAGTTTTCTTTTTCTCTGTTCACCCTTATGGCTATTCATATTTTAATGTAGTTTACAGTAAGGATCTATATCTTTCAGCCCAGCGCATCTGATTTGAGTAGACCCTGGCTATCCTACCAATAAACAGTCCCAAATCATTGAGGCTGAAAATATACCCTAACAGGGCTTCAGTCACATGTAAATTGCGGACCTCTTTCCAGCGACTATACCGCCACCTGCCGAGAGTATTCCTGCGCTGCTACACGCAGCGCTGAGGGGGCTAAGCTAGATGGCTGAGACTCACGAACAAAAAAAATAAAGGAAGCTGCAGGAGGTGCAGTAGCTGCTGCTTGTGAGTCCCAGCCATCTAGTTTAGCCCCGCGGCGCGGGAATACTCTCGGCGGTGACTTTAACTCGGTGGAAGCTTTTCCGCGGTATGCTGTGTAGTCGCCAAAAAGAGGTCCACAATTTACATGTGACTGACGCCCTGTTAGGGTATATTTTTGGTTTTAATAATTTAGGACCGTTATTCGGAGGATAGCCTAGACCCCTAATTAGTCGCCTTGTTGGGGGCAATTTGTCTATTCTGTTTTTCTCTTAAGATTAGGTGACAGAACCGTCACAGAGAGTGTTTCATTTTCACTATGATTCCATTATTTATACTAAAATATAGAGAAAAACTTAATTTTATTCAATTTTCAATTGAATTGGTCAATAAGTAAATGTTTTGTAGCCTAAGGAAACAACTGAATAAAATATTAAAGCAGCGTAATAGAGTTCATGTCACCAAAGCCTATCTTGTGTGGCTCAGCCTATCTCACCACAGCTTCAGTAAATCAACAGAGCTCTAAAACAAGTGTTAGTATACTCCTCATACACCTCATACTCCTCATACACCTCATACTCCTCATACACCTCATACACCTCATACACCTCATACTCCTCATACACCTCATACTCCTCATACTCCTCATACACCTCATACTCCTCATACTCCTCATACACCTCATACACCTCATACTCCTCATACTCCTCATACACCATGAATGAGTGATTCTTCTTTTCTTTTACTGAATGAGGAGTGGTAATGGTGTAGCAACTATACGCTGATCTGCAGATCCAAATGTCATAGGTTCAAATCAGGATGCTGTTGTTTAGAAAAAAAAAACTTGGTTCCCACATTAACCCAGCCTTAGACCAGGTAAATGTCTTGGGAAGTAAAGGCGGCCAGCACGATGCTGACCACATCACCCACTAAATGATGATGGGCTATAGAATGTAGGTCTAGCCCTGTGTGCCCAGTTTGCTTGAAGATGGGGAAACTGGTCCTTTTACTTTTACTGAATGGGTTCTTGCTTGAATTTCTATTACTTTGATTTACAGGCTATCTTCAACAAGTGAATTCTGTTTTACTTTTTAACTTTATCTCGTGCACTCAACTTGCACAATTAATCATACTTATTTGACCTATTATTGCACCAGATTTTATCTTGCATTCTAAAATTGAACTTGTCAATAAGTTATCTGTTTCTGCTAGATTTGTTACCCACATGTGAGCTGTTTTGTATAATCATGTTGCCTATTTTTTTTTATAATGGGATTTTCTATGTATTTACTGATCATTTTATTTTACCTAAAGTTTCATTTTAGTTACGATCCTCCATTGATTGGTATACTCTGTTGACTGGGGTCAGTGTTCCTTAGAGCATTCTGTATATTTGTTTTCTGGCATATTTGTTCTGTGAGATTGAAACTTCAGTAGCATAGCATATAACAGTGGCAGACTAGCATTATACTCTCTGTTAATCCCAACTCATGAGAGTTTAAATGAGTACTAGAGATTTCACTAGGACTGAAAGATTTGTTGCTGGTCACTTTAACTCATAAAGCAAATGAATATAAAGGAGAAGATAATGACATTCTGGTGGCATATAATAAAATATGAAATAGAGAAATCAGCTTTATGCAGGAACAGTTAGATAGAGAAATACTCATGTTGGAAGCTTAATCATGTGGTAGCAAATAATTTTATAAGCAATACCAGCTTCATCAGAATATCAGAAGACAATGGGTTAGCAAGTCATGATTGCCAATGTCGTCTCCAGACCAAACACTTGCAGAAAAAAAGATAATATTGTACTGTTACATATCTCTGTTTGGCACAAAATATTACTGGGTGAAGTAGTTTGCTTTCTAAACTTGTTATGCATCTGTACTGAAATAATTTTTAAAAATTATTCTGGGTCCAGGTTGGCCAGTATGTGACAGAATCAGAGAAAGCTGCTCAGATGGAACAGGAAATTGACAAGAGTGATCTGAGGTTTTCATCCATACTTCTGAAACATTTGGACATGCAGACCAACAAACAGGTCTATGAGTTTCAGAAGGAAAAGGAGGTAGAATTATTTTGTTGTTTATTAATGGTTATCCTAATTGCTGTCTGTTCAAATCTGTAATGTCTAATGTTCAGTTCTTGAGGCCTCGGAGATGTGGTTTTACAGAAGAATCCTTAGAATTCCTTGGACAGCTAAGAAAAGTAACCCAGATGTTTTGAAAGGGGCAGGTGCTTGAAGAAAACTTATCACAAACATCAGAAAGAGACAATCATCATTTTTGGGTCATGTGATGAGAAGATGGAAAATGAAACATGTAACGACTGGCAAGATTTGTGGAAGGAGAGACAGAGGAAGACAGCGTGAGAAGATTCTTGACAGCTTTTTGGCATGGCATTGAAGGGTGTCAACACATGAACTGATACATGCGGTTGGGAATGGCAGATTGTGGAGAGGCATGATCGCCCATTCCAGTCGGCGAGGCACTTGATGATAAGGATAAGTGTACAGTTTCAGCATAATGACTTGAGAGAATGTTTGTATCAGAAATTATTGGTGGCAGCACACAAGTCAGAAGGCTGTGGAAACACATGTTTACCAACACTCATGTCAGAAGTCTCTCTTGAATCTTCCTGTCTAGACTATAATTACTGTCACTCCATCCAGCACAGACTTGAATAATGTAATGTAACAGCCTGGAACAGTTGAAAAATTAACCCTGTAGCCCCAAACCTGACACTTCCGGTTGGTGCCATTTTCCTGTAAGAGCTGTACTCCCCGTTCTTTGTAGCGGTTTGTTTATAAGAAGCACAGCTAACTTCTTCACATTCACTGGCAGCAAAAGGTTCTGATTGTTCATCCACCTCTGGACTTAATTCAGAATGTGAGTTTTGCATGCTCATTCATTCAAAAGATCTGGCTTAATTGCAGACTCTTGGTTCTTTGCCTCTCAGGCAAAGGCACTCTGACTTCAAAGGATGCTCCCAATTAGTCAACTTCTTCTACATCCTTTCAGGTCTCTGACTTATTGTAGAAATTAAATCGTCTTATTTTCTCTGTAAGTCTAGGGTGACCGGGTCACAGGATGAAGCAGCGGTCATACTATAATTCTTATTCAAGGCTCAGAGATATGCAAACCAGTTAATTCCCAGCTGCATTAATTTTTATTGATTACTCTCCTTCATCTTTACGGTTTTTGTTGGTTTCCCCTGTGTTTTTTTAATGTGTGTGCATATATGATTTTTTTACGAATTTTCTTGTGACGCGTTTAAGATTTTTTTAAAGGAATTTTGTCAAGAGTGTCATAATGCAGGAGTTACGGAAGCTTGGCAGTCTTTTTTCTTCTTAGGTGGCAAGGGTGAAAGGGTTCAGAATTAGGGTGGTTTATAGAATAAAGAAAGTAAGTAACTAAAGGACATATGTAGCTCATGAGTCTTTGAAACTGAGTAAAGGACCATTTCCATGCAGTTGCCTCTGGTATTTGGTGTTCTGCCACTTGTTTTTGACCAGTCTGCACAAACTTGATGGTTTGGTCAACATAATGTGGGTTGTCTTTACTTTCCAGTCTTGGCGGGGTTCGCATGGGAGCACAGGTCATTTATATCGTTAACAGAATATATGTGAAAGCCAACATTTTCCTATCACTTGAATACCAGGCTTTGCTACTTGCCAGTAGCACAAAAAACATTGAAAGAAAATATTTCATATTTAAGGAATACATAATTCTCAGACAACATTAATTATTGATGTAATACTTATCAAGTCCGCATGTTCACATGTATATCCCACTATGTGTCTAAACATATCATCATCATCATCCCCTAACACTGTGTCGTTGGGTCATTAGTTTCTGTTGACTGTTGATCAGCTCTCTCCACCTTTGGCGGTCAGTTGCGATGGACTTCATGGTTACATGCCTGAGGCCTGTCCAGTCAGTCAGGTTCTGTAACCAGGTCTTTCTTATTTGCCTAATCTCCTGTTTCCCTCTTCTGAGCCCTGCAGTATTGTCTTTGAGAGGCCATTAGATCTTATTACATTTCCATACCATTGCATTTTTTGACTTTTCACTGAGGTTCATAGTTGCCTCTGTGCTGTATATATTTTTATGGCGAACTTCCTCGTTTGTAATGTGGTATCTGTAGGATATGCCAAGAATTTTTCTGAAACATGGCATTTCTAATAATCTGTCTTTCAAGTTCAGCTGTTAAGGTCCACATTTCACAGCCATGTGTAAATGTACTAATTGCTATTTCTCTCAGCAATCGAATCTTAATCTTGCATGAAATGTTTTTAGATTTCCATAATATTTGCTGCCTGGCAAGGACTGATGTTGTCTGGGCAATCCTAGAAATAATTTCTGGTCTTGATCCCAAATCACTTACAAAATTTGAAATAAGTCACTTGTTCTAATTTGTGGCCTTTAACGTAGATTGGTGAAATTCTGCCATCTGGATTATTAGTCATGACTTTAGTTTTTTTCTGCATTTATTTCCATGCCATACTTGGTTGATGTTTCATCGAGTAGATTTACAAGCTCAACTAGTTCTTGTTCTTCTCCATGTCATCATTGTTGGGTTGGCCGGAGAAGAACAATGTAATCATTGATGGGTTGGCCGGAGAAGAACAATGTCATCATTGATGGGTTGGCTGGAGAAGAACAAGAACTAGTCGAACTTGTAAAGTTATTCACTTTGATAAGCAGATCTGATAAGGAATCATGGTACACTGCAAAGTGGAACTCAAGTGGAACTTGCTTTCATCTGCATACCATCATGTCATACTTTGTGTCTAGATTTCTTTGTCTGGCCAGTTGTCGTCTAAACCCTGCCGCAGTCAGTGTCTAGTGCCCTTCATTCATGTACATTGTTATATCAGATTGGGTAGCCTGTTCAGGTCCACACCACTTCCCATATATTCTTCCTATTAGCATTCACGGCAGTGGAAAGTTCTGGTTGTTCATCTACTTCTGGATTTTGTTCTTGTTGCAGAACTTGAGTTTTTATACACAGCCGTTAGACAGATCTGACTAATTTGTACAGAGTGTGCAGAGTATTCCTTGACTCTCAGGCATATGCACTCTGACTTTGAAAGAAATACCCCTAATTATTCGTCTTTTACAATGTGTTTGCTATGGGGCATTGGGTCTGTTGTGTTTTTTTTTTTAAACCTTAAGGGGCCACACAAAGATTTACCCAGAAAATTGCAGGTGCTCATTTACTGGGACAAGCCAACAACCCACAGCTCAGAATTCAATCCTGCAACTTCTGGGAATGGAGTCTAGACCACCGCTACAGTGTCACCACTGCCACAGTACCACCACCGCCACAGTACCACCACTGCCACAGTACCACCACCACTGCCACAGTACCACCACTGCCACAGTACCACCACCACCACCGCAGTACCACCACTGCCACAGTACCACCACCACCACAGTACCACCACTGCCACAGTACCACCACCGCCGCAGTACCACCACCGCCGCAGTACCACCACCACTGACACAGTACCACCACCGCCGCAGTACCACCACCACTGACACAATACCACCACCACTGACACAGTACCACCACCGCCGCAGTACCACCACCACTACAGGGCACTGATTTACCACCAGACACAGTACCACCACTGACACAGTACCACCACCACTGACACAGTACCACCACCACTGCCACAGTACAACCACTGACACAGTACCACCACTGACACAGTACCACCACCACTGACACAGTACCACCACCACTGACACAGTACCACCACCACTGACACAGTACCACCACTGACACAGTACCACCACTGACACAGTACCACCACCACTGACACAGTACCACCAGGACACACCCACTGACACAGTATTGACACAGTAACAACCACTGACACAGTACCACCACTGACACAGTACCATTTACTGGGACAGTACCACCACTGACACAGTACCCACAGCACAGAATACCAACCCTGACACAGTACTGATGGGACATACCACCACCAGTGACACAGTACCACCACCACTGACACAGTACCACCACCACTGACACAGTACCACCACTGACACAGTACCACCACCACTGACACAGTACCACCACTGACACAGTACCACCACTGACACAGTACCACCACTGACACAGTACCACCACCACTGACACAGTACCACCACCGCCGCAGTACCACCACCACTGACACAAGAACCACCACCGCTGCAGTACCACCACCACTGACACAGTACCACCACCACTGACACAGTACCACCACTGACACAGTACCACCACTGCCGCAGTACCACCACCACTGCCACAGTACCACCACCGCCACAGTACCACCACCACTGCCACAGTACCACCACTGCCACAGTACCACCACCGCCACAGTACCACCACCACCGCCGCAGTACTACCACTGCCACAGTACCACCACTGACACAGTACCACCACCACTGACACAGTACCACCACTGCCGCAGTACCACCACCACTGACACAGTACCACCACCACTGCCACAGTACCACCACCGCCACAGTACCACCACCGCCACAGTACCACCACCACCGCCACAGTACCACCACCACCGCCACAGTACCACCACTGCCACAGTACCACCACTGCCACAGTACAACCACTGCCACAGTACCACCGCCACTGCCACAGTACCACCACCACTGCCACAGTACCACCACCGCCACAGTACCACCACTGCCACAGTACCACCACTGCCAAAGTACCACCACTACCGCCACAGTACCACCACTGCCACAGTACCACCACTGCCACAGTACCACCCCTGCTGTTGATTATTGATTAGAATGTTTAAAAATATCTGTTTAGTTGAATTGTTAAAGTCATGTAGGTAATTTGTTGTCATAACAAACCAACAGCAAGCTTTTTTTAAAGAGTCACAAATTAGGCATGCAGGCCCATATTATATTCAGCTCTTTTAAACAACATCACCTGGCACTGAGAGAAAATCGAAGAAAACCATTAACCTTTTATACCAAGATGCCGTAAAACCAACGCTTCCAGTTGGGTCCCATTCCCCTTAAACGTCACATTATAGCCTTTTTTTTTTTTTTTTTATGTAATGCTGGCTTTCTGACACCCTGAATATTGTGTTTCTATAGGGCGAGCAAGAAGAGGAGGAAGAAAAAGAAAGTAATGAAAACATAAGTGAAGCAGATACTGATGATGAAGAGGAGATAGATAACAAGAAAGAGTCCAGTAAGTAGCATTGGTGATGTGTGGTTTTTGAATTTGATGCTTCCCATGTGGGTACCAGGGCCCTACAAAAGGAAAAGAACAGACCTACTGCCCTCCTTACCCACATGTTGTTGTTGTTCTTCTTCTTTGCGTTCAGTTTCCTATGCTCAGATCAGATCGTCAGGTGGGTTGCCTCAATGAACTCGCATGTCAGCTGCAGGTCCTTCATGGTTCCTCAAAGCTTGCTCTGCACACTTTGCTCTTGAGGCCTGGTGTATTTTCGTTGTATGTAGAGTGGGCAGGTCTGCAGAATATGCTCAGGTGTTTGTGGTCCTGTTTGAGAGGCACACTGTGGGGACTGTACACTCTTTTTTTTGTGTGCATGTGTTATTTGAGCCTGCAGTGTCCTGTTTGTAGACAGAAGATTGTTATATGTTGCTTTTTGTTGAGTTTGCTGATTGGGTCTTGTGGATGTTTACTGTTAGTTTGTTCTCTCCACAATTCCTTGTATTTCCTCTTGATAAGTATTCTGATTTCTGGTAACGACAAAGGATGGGTGTGTTGCTTCTCATTTGTTCCATTTTTAGCAAGTCTGTCTGCTAACTCATTTCCTGGTATGCCACAGTGAGCCGGGATCCACTGGAGAACAATCTGATTGTTTTCTGTAAGTCTGTTTAGCTGGCGGGTCAGTTCTGTCTCCATGTTGTCTCGTGCATCCCTCTGAGTCCGCCTGTGGCAGTCACAAAGGAAAACAATTTTGCTGTTTTTGATTTTTCTTTTCTCAAGCACTTTGGCTGAATCAATAATTGCTTGCCGCTCTGCTCTGAAGTTTGTTGAGAGTTTTCCGGAGGCGCATGACGTTTCTACTGTGGTCACATCTTGCAGCTCCTCTGTTTTTTTTTCTGTCAAGGGTCTTTGCATGCAGTACTAGGTCACATTCTTCAGCCTTTCTATCTATGCCTGGAATTGTTGTTGTGACTGTATAGTTAGACTGCAGGTCTATGCTGTATGCCTGGATCATTTCTAATGTTGAAGGATCTTTAGAAAGGATGTCACTGTTTTTTTTTTTTTTTGTAGTACAATTTTGATAGATGGTGAAATCTTTGTCTTTTTAGTTGTTTTTAGTTAGGTTATTTGCTATTCTGTGCGTGATGTTGTTCATGCGTTAAAATGTTTCTGTTAGGGTAAGCACCTTGTCGCTTGGATGGCTCAAGCTCTAGAGGCTAGAAGATGCCTCTAGCTCATGGATTGGTGTGCTTCTCATTCCTCCAGTGATGATTCTGAGACCAGTGTGTGGTCTGTATTTTGTCCAGTTTGTAAAGTTTTATTTGGCTGCAGTACAGTATGCTCCCATGCCATACTCGAGTTTTGGTCATACGTATCCTGTGTATACTTGTTGTACAGTGTTGGCGTCTGCGCCCCAGCTTGTTCCAGTAAGTTTCTTCATGAATCTGAGCATCAGGGTAGCTTTCCTTTGGGTGTCTTCAATGTGGGGCCCCAAGTTAGTCTATTGTTGAATTTTACTCCCAAATATGTGGGGTTATCCTCTTTTGGAAGAATGTTGCCTTCTAGGTAATTTTAGTTGTTCCTATATGTTTAGCTTGGGTCCATATGGCGAGGTATGGGGTATTCAATACAGCCTTTAGCTGTCCCAAATTCTTAAGTTATTTATTTAATTCCCAAGTTATTTATTAAGTTAGTCTTTCCTCTTGAGCCTAGGGCAGAGGTCATAGCTCTCCATGTCTGGCGGTTCTTTGCCACCTGTTTTAGGTCTTGGATGTTCATTAGACCCATTGGTGAGCCATCCCTGATGATTGTTATATGTATGGTTTTTCTTGGTCTTCCCCATTTTCTTTTTTCCTTTAAGTGTCCTTATGAGGGCTTGAAGGGGGAGTCTGGTCTTATCCATTCTGAGTGCATGGCTGATGTAGTTCCAGTGGCGCTTTTTTTTATAAAATTGGATAAGTTGTCTTGCTTGGTCTCTTGTCTTATTTGCATATTGGATCTGAAATTCTGAAATGGGTTACCTGCGATAGTTTTGAGAAGGGTAGGGAGCAGTATAACTGATCACTCCTCTTGATAATGCCCTGAGCTAGGGCATACAGCGTCTTACTAGATTGCCCTGATGATGTAAGTTATCATGTGGTTGTTGAATTGCATATGAATGGTTTCTTCTGTGTTCATCTGAAGATGTAAATGTGTTGTGTCCGTTTATAGCATGACTGTGATATTTGTGTCTTTCAGCCAACACATCCAACTTCTGCAGGCATTTGTTGACTGGGTTAGTTTCTTGGGACATTGCAGTCTTATTGTTGTGTGGTTATCTTTGTTTTCTTGGTCACAGGTAAGAAGCCATATGATACTGGTCAGTCCTCAAGAAAAGGCAGGATCAGAACATGAGTATTCCTTGCCATCTAAGGAAGTTTCATATTTGCAGAGCCAATACATGGTGCTCTGTTCCTTATATTGAGCATCTCATTCATCACAGGCTATTTCTTTAGAAGCCAGCAAGCAGTAGGCAGCCTGTAGACCTGGAAATTTTGATTGCCTTCACAAAATGAGTACTTTGTTTCTGATGCATGTTAGACCTTTACAACAGCAGACCTTCATGTCCTCTGTAGCTTCATATGACATTTGTTACATAGATGGCTAGAGGCATCCAGTGTGGCAGTATACAGACAGATGTTTCATTTTCTTCCCATGTCATGGTTTAAACACTCCAGGAACTATCGGCTCTGAGAATCCCAGACAGTTTTCTTATTACTAAACCTTCTGATGTCAGTGTGAATATATTTTAATAAAACAGCAGACAACTTGAGGTTGTTGACGCCTCTACAGAATTTGTCCTAAAAAATTGTCAGCCAGAATCATGTTGGACACTCTTGTAACAAGTGTTTGCCCGCATTTTTACCATTTCCACAGTTACAGTAATCAGTGGCTCCTATCACTAGCTTATTAAGTGAGTGTTGTTTCAGCCTTTTGTGTGCTGTGAGGAGTCTAATGATCACTACTTACTTATTCTCATCTGTCAGATTAGTAGTATGCATCATCATCCTTGTGGTCTGAATGTGCAGAATCCCATTTGGTACTGTAGGTACTTCTTATAAACCTCTTAGCTTCATCATATGTTATGTCTATTTCAGACTGGGATAGTCTTCAACCTTCTTTTGCCAATCTGTCAGCCATTTCATTTCTGGGTATGTTGCAGTGGGATCATATCTATTGTACTATGAATCTTTTTGTGATTTCTGACTTATTCAGATAAATTGTTTGACTGTTTCACATGCAGTTTGTTTTATTTGATTTTAGATTCAAGTACAGAGAACAAGGAGGATATGAAAAGATGTGCAGATGAGGAAAATTTCTGAAGCTGAAAGAATGTATTTCCGTGATGAATTTTTACGCACGATGCAAGAGAAGTTTTTATCAGGGCAAGATGCCAGCTTTGATTACAGGTGTGTTTCATTGTACTGTGAAAGTTGCATTGTTTTAAGCCAACAATTACATATAGCTTATTGTGATCCTTTTGGGGGGGAGGGGGGAGTAATGTGGAAATTATTTATGTGTGGAAAAATAAACATTAGTTTGACAGAGTATTCTGAATTACAGCAAATGCTCCATGCTCTTATCTAAGGAATCTACAGATTAAGAAGGATAATGATTAGGATTACCACTTAACTGGAACATGATGCATACACTAAGTTATGTTTTGTTATCACTATCGGCATCACTGCATGTTAGGTTTTTCCACGCATGCTCAGTCCTCTGATGCAGCAGCCACTCCCAGGTACTTGTACTAATTGTTCCCATGAGGGGTTGGTTATAATGTCTCCCATCTCGGCCTTGAAGGTGGCATAGACATGCTTTACTACCCACGACATGCAATTCTGTGTGTGTCAGAGATTCGTTATATACACTGTTACAATTAGAGTGATGTCTATCCTTATGTGATGTCTGTCCCTGTGTGGTGATATTTCTCCAAGATATGATGTCTGTCCCTGTGTGGGGATATTTCTCCAAGATATGATGTCTGTCCCTGTGTGGTGATATTTCTCCAAGATATGATGTCTGTCCCTGTGTGGTGATATTTCTCCAGGATATGATGTCTGTCCCTTTGTGGTGATATTTCTCCAGGATATGATGTCTGTCCCTGTGTGGTGATATTTCTCCAAGATATGATGTCTGTCCTTGTGTGGTGATATTTCTCCAAGATATGATGTCTGTCCCTGTGTGGTGATATTTCTCCAAGATATGATGTCTGTCCCTGTGTGGTGATATTTCTCCAAGATATGATGTCTGTCCCTGTGTGGTGATATTTCTCCAAGATATGATGTCTGTCCCTGTGTGGTGATATTTCTCCAAGATATGATGTCTGTCCCTGTGTGGTGATATTTCTCCAGGATATGATGTCTGTCCCTGTATGGTGATATTTCTCCAAGATATGATGTCTGTCCCTGTGTGGTGATATTTCTCCAAGATATGATGTCTGTCTCTGTGTGGTGATCTTTCTCCAGGATATGATGTCTGTCCCTATGTGGTGAAATTTCTCCAGGATATGATGTCTGTCCCTGTGTGGTGATATTTCTCCAGGATATGATGTCTGTCCCTGTGTGGTGATATTTCTCCAAGATATGATGTCTGTCCCTGTGTGGTGATATTTCTCCAGGATATGATGTCTGTCCCTGTGTGGTGATATTTCTCCAAGATATGATGTCTGTCCATCCCTGTGTAGTGATATTTCTGCAGGATATGATGTCTGTTCCTATGTGGTGATATTTCTCCAGGATATGACGTCTGTCCCTGTGTGGTGATATTTCTCCAGGATATGATGTCTGTCCCTGTGTGGTGATATTTCTCCAGGATATGATGTCTGTCCCTGTGTGGTGATATTTCTCCAGGATATGATGTCTGTCCCTGTGTGGTGAAATTTCTCCAAGATATAATGTCTGTCCCTGTGTGGTGATATTTCTACAGGATATGATGTCTGTTCCTGTGTGGTGATATTTCTCCAGGATATGATGTCTGTCCCTGTGTGGTGATATTTCTCCAAGATATGATGTCTGTCCCTGTGTGGTGATATTTCTCCAAGATATGATGTATGTCCCTGTGTGGTGATATTTCTTCAGAATATGATGTCTGTCCCTGTGTGGTAATATTTCTCCAGGATATGATGTCTGTTCCTGTATGGTGATATTTGTCTTCAGAGGGTTGCTTTCTGATGAAATGAAATTTCATAAAAGTAAATGCATTCACCTAGTCTATTATATGCGGATATATGAAGTGAAATTATGGTGTCTTGAAAATGTATCACTAACAGACATGTTATGAGGATAGAATAGATTTGAAAACAGTGAAAACTAGCAGATTTGATGGAAATGACCAAAAGGAAGACCAATTATTATTATAATTTGCTTTCACCGGCTGTGAATTGCGGCGGAAACATCTGGTTATTCAATCACTGCTGGACTTGTTCAAGAATTTGATTTTTATGTACAGATCTGGCTTAGTTGTGTGCAGATTGTTGGTTCCCTGTCTCTAAGGCACATGCACTTCAGCTTTGAAGAAAACCCCAAATTAGTTGACTATTATGACATACTTGTTAGGAAGGCAGTAGGTCTGTTTCATTTCCCCCGCAGTGGCTCTAGAACCCACATGAGGAGACAAATCATTGACTACCTGGATGGTTTATCCACACAACATGGGCAGGACAAAAACACAGACCTGATCCATGATTCCAGTTATCATGTGGGATGATAGATCATTACAACCCCTGCTTTTTGACATGATGATTGTGTCACTGTACAGTTTGAAATGATTAAAAGCTGATTGTATTAACATTTGTTGCTGTTGAAAATAATGTAAAACATGTTTCTCATTGACAGTAAAGTGGACAATAATGCAGATTATGATTCGTTGGACATTGCTGGGCACGATGCAGAGGAGAAATACTTTGATGCTGATGAAGACAGTGACAGCAGTGCTAACACAGTGCAGAGACGTGATATGCAACTGACATCTTGCATGGATGAGAGTGGCTGTAATGTGGCAGAGAGATGAGACCATTTTTGATTCTCAAATAAATATATGTTGACTGAGCTACTTGTGATCCTGTCAGAAGAAATGTTGATCGCTGTCATACATTTACTGAGTGCTTGGTTAATTATTGTGAATGAGAATGTAGGAAAAAAGGGGTCCTATATCCAGTGAAGGAAGTGTGGACATAAAGCACTAAATTAGGTAATTCATTTTATTTGATACAGCAACTGTTCTGCTTGACTGATGTGCACAGATAACTAACTCTTGGTTATAATTGTGTGAGAGTTACTGCCTACTGTTAGTACAGCAACTACTGTATTTGACTGAATTTAACAGATTACTAACCTATGGTTGTAATAGAGAAAGAGTGTGTATATAGGAGTGTTTGAAAGTAATTTTGGACTTCTTTTGGTGCAACTGCTGTGCTTGACTGAATGTAGCGCATAACTTTTGGCTGTATTTAGATATTGTTCTTGAACCACTATTGGTAGAGCACCTTGTGTAATGTACAAGATCTGGAAGTCCAGCCGCCAAGTGATTTTTTTTTTGGGGGGGGAGGATGACAACAGTCTGTATGCTTGAGAGTCTGCCTGAGAGTAATTAATTGTGATGGGCAACTAAATGTTGCATGTCGTGTCAGGATTCCTGATGATACACTGAATGTCATCATCTTGATTTTTACGCATGTATAGCCTGCAGTAGTTTAACTAAAATTCATTGATAAAAAAAATGGATTTGGCTTATATTTGGGATATTACGCCAGTGTGCTACATGTACAAAGTTTATTAATAAACAATAACCATTTTGAAAAGTACCTTATGAAAACAATACCAGTAATTGATGCCACTGTTGTCTGCTGCTGAATCATGAGGTAGGTTTGTGCCATAAAGTGTCTTTCCCAGCCATAACTGCCTTCAGATTTACTCTTAGGAATTCCTATGATGTCTGATAATTGACACACTTCAAACTGACATTTCCAGAGACACAGAAAATCCATCATGCCCATTTTTCTTGACATATTCCAGCAGATTAGTTTTTTCTTTCGGGCTTTTCACCCTCTTTCCATGAAAAGATTGTTGACTTTGGAATATTTTTTCGAGAGTATTTTTCATTCCAATCCATCTTAACATGTTTTTGTATCCATATTGAACTTTCATTTTCGCTGCTAATCTACTTGCAACTTAAAGTTACAACTTGCTGTCACATTGTCCAGCTTTGACTGCCTACAGGTACTACTTTTCTGTTTTTGTCTCAACAATATTCTAAGAAGATCTTGATACTGAGTCCTTACAAACCTGATTGGATCAGTCAAAACTACGATGGTTTGGACATGTATTCAGAAGGGGAGAAATCGGCCACCATGGGAGGCTAAGAACCAGGGAACCAGACCTCCGGGACGACCCAGGGTCTGCTGGGATGACAACATTCGTCAGTTCCTAACTGACAAGAGACTCAAATGAAACAAAGCCAGAAAGAAAACTGCACGTAAAGACGTCTGGCGATCTCTCTGGCAAACCTCTACACCCCAGGGTAGAAGAGGAGCCACTAAGTCAGTAAGATTCTCAGAAAATAATTTTCCCCTAAAATTATCAACTCAGAAAATGGATGCAGCCTAAAACGTGTGCGACCTATACATGCATAAATGTGGCAAATGTCACGATCAACATCACTGCATATCAGGCATTTTCATACATGCTCAATTTTAAAATGCTTCTGCTATCCTCTCTTGACCTCGAAGATGGCATTGACTTGCTTGGTCAAGCTTCAAAGACTCCCTGGTTTTCATCAGCTCCTTACAGCATTTGATCAAGGAAGACATAAACAACAGCAAAATATTCCTTAACATGTTTCGCAGTGTCTCCTCAGGTTTATGCTACAGTGATAATCAAATAAAATAAGCAGATAAACGTATTAACCATAAAACTTTAGCTTTGTCAGCTCTGTCAATCAGCTTTTCTTGATTAGAGTACTTTGAAATCGTTTCCTTGCAGTTTTTTCTCCAGTGATGGCACATTGATGTTGTGCTTGTAATTGTAACAACACCTTGAGTTGGAAATCATATCTTAGGAAGAACATTTAATGGTACCATGACAGCAGTAGCAGATGTAAATGTTTTCAAAGGCATAATGATATGAATTGTAGATATATTTGTTACATTACATGTATGGTGGCCTGACCGCTCAGAAAACTGGCATACTAGACATAAAATTGCGTAGAAAAACCACAAACAGCCAACAGTGTTGGAGTCAGTTCACAGTATCCTGTACAGCAGACATGTCAAACTGAGGGTCCTCTGAGGGCCAGATAGGTCATGATTGTGTCGTCTTTATAAAAATTATTGCAGAATATCTTCTCTGCAGGCCGCAGGTGGATTTGTAAAGGGTGGCATGCAGCCCATGGGCCGCCATTTTGACATGACTCCTGTGCAGAATTAGCAACTAAAGTTTTTAATACCTGGTTCTCATCAGCGACTTGTGAAATTTTCTTACATATAATGTAGGTAGTAAACATTTTTACATGTGATTAGGGTACTCTGCCAAGCTGATGGGGCATGATGTTTTTTTTTTAATCAGTATTCTGCTGGACAGACAAATCAGGTGTACACATTTTACAGCTGAATCTCTCCCAGCATTTTCCTCATAGGAGAAGACAAACTCTGCCAGTACTGGAATGGGGATTTTGTTTAAAATAACTGATCCAGCCAGATTGACCCAGCCTAAACTAGGTACCAGGAAATGTTCTGAAAAGTAGAAGCAGCCAGTGTGTTTTTGACCACAGCAGCCATTGTGTGCTGATTTGTCTGCAAAAATATGGAACCTTCACCAAATGCTGCTCAATCAATCTTTGAAAACTGGTCCTTTTGTTTACTATATGCCCATTTAGGATGGAGGAATTACTTTCCCTGAAAAATTAAACCCAGCTTTACTGTACTAATTTATGGGAATAAAATAGGGTTGTTTATATTATTTTAACCACTCAGGTGAAACCCAAGACCTGTGTTTAAGCATAAGTACTAATTTTTCATTTGACCAACAAGGAGCAGCAGATATGTAGTGCATGTCATACATCTGTTTTGACAGGGATGTGTTTCGTTTTAAAGGATGTGTACTGCCAGGGCGGCACAGCCTACAATTGGAACCAGAAAATATTTTGGGAAGTAAATATGGGTAGCATGATATTGACCACATTCCCCTTGTAGTGCTAGTGGTCCATGAAAATGTTTGGGTAAACATCATATATTCAAAACAGCATCCTAAATTGAAAGAGGTCCCAAATAATGTATGGCACAGTTTATTGCCCTGTGTATTTCATGGTATCTCTTCACTTTATAACTTTGAGATAGCAGCCCAAATGTTTAATTATGAAGATGTTGCTTAATTATGAAAATATTGAGTCATCTGAAGACTGAGCACACATGGAAGTGTCCAATGTGCTGTACATAATTTTGATAACACAGTATTGTTAGTGATAACAAGCAAACCAGAAATAAAGTGTCTTATAGTGGTGTATCAGTGTATTGTTTGTGTTTGTTCTATTAATAAGTTGAGATGCTGAATTCTTGTAATGGTAGATTTATTTAAAAAAATATGAGACCTAAGTTGAATTTAAATGAGGTCTTATGATGATTGTTCTCTGTAATACAATGTGACCTTGTGTGCTCCTGGTTATGCACCTTTCAGTGACATTGACTTGGAAGAAAAAACTGAAAAGCTCATGAAAGTATGAATATGGATAACATCAGATAGAAGAAGTCTTACAAAGATATGAAAATGGATAACATCAGTTGGAAGATGTCTTACAGAGAAACAAATATGGATAACATCAGATAGAAGATGTCTTACAGAGATACAAATATGGATAACATCAGATGGAAGATGTTTTACAGAGATACAAATATGGATAACATCAGATGGAAGATGTCCTACAGAGATACAAATATGGATAACATCAGATGGAAGATATCTTACAGAGATACAATTATGGATAACATCAGATGGAAGATGTCTTACAGAGATACAAATATGGATAACATCAGATGGAAGATGTCTTACAGAGATACAAATATGGATAACATCAGATGAAAATGTCTTACAGAGATACGAATATGGATAACATCAGATGGAAGATGTCTTACAGAGATACAAATATGGATAACATCAGATGGAAGATGTTTTACAGAGATACAAATATGGATAACATCAGTTGGAAGATGTCTTACAGAGATATGAATATGGATAACATCAGATGGAAGATGTCTTACAGAGATACAAATATGGAAAACATCAGATGGAAGATGTCTTACAGAGAAACAAATATGGATAACATCAGATAAAGATGTCCTACAGAGATACAAATATGGATAACATCAGATGAAGATGTCTTACAGAGATACAAATATGGATAACATCAGATGGAAGATTTTTCACAGAGATACAAATATGGATAACATCAGATGGAAGATTTTTCACAGAGATACAAATATGGATAACATCACCTGGAAGATATCTTATAGAGATATGGATATGGATAACATCAGATGGAAGATATCTTACAGAGATATGGATATGGATAACATCAGATGGAAGATGTCTTACAAAGATATGGATAACATCAGTTGGAAGATGTCTTACAGAGATAAGGATAACATCAGATGGAAGATGTCTTACATAGATATGGATAACACCAGTTGGAAGATGTCTTACAGAGATATGGATAACATCAGATGGAAGATGTCTTACAGAGATATGGATAACACCAGTTGGAAGATGACTTACAGAGATATGGATAACATCAGATGGAAGATGTCTTACAGAGATACAAATATGGATAACATCAGTTGGATGATGTCTTACAGAGATATGGATAACATCAGATGGGAGATGTCTTACAGAGATACAAATATGGATAACATCAGTTGGAAGATGTCTTACAGAGATACAAATATGGATAACATCAGTTGGAAGATGTCTTACAGAGATATGGATAACATCAGATCGAAGATGTCTTACAGAGATCATAAT